TTTTTTTTTTTTTTTTTGGTACCGGGGATTGAACTTGGGTCCTTGAGCTTTCACAGCAGGCGACAAAACCACTGGGCTAACTCCCTGGCCCTATTTTTCCTTTTGTTCTCCTTTCTAAGTGGTTTACCCAACTTCATTTTCCACTCTTTCTACTATGCCTTTTTTTTTTTCTGAGATAGGATCTTGCTATGCAGTCTAGACTGGCTTCAAACTTGTGACACTCCTGCCTCAGCCTCTTGAGTGGTAGGGATTATAAACTTTTTTTTTTTTTTGCTATCACATTTTGTTTCAGGGTTGGGATTGAAACCTTGGCATTTACACCGAGTCCCTAGCCCTTTTTAATTTTTAATTTAAAGATTATTTTAAATTATTGTTTTGAGACAGGGTCTCACTATGTAGCTCAGACTGGTTTGAATTCACTATGTAGGGCCAGGTTGGCCTCAAACGCCAGGCAATCCTCCTGTCTCAACCTCCTGAGTGCTGGGATTACAGGTGTGCACCACCACCAGCTTTTTAATTTTTTTGAGAGCTAAATTGCTAAATTGCCCTGGCTGCTCTCAAGTTGTGATCCTCCTGACTTGGCCTCCCAGAGTGCTGAGACTACAGGTGTGCCATGGCTGCTGACATATTAAATTTCCAAGATACCTGTTTTATAGCCCCCTGTTCTTTTTTTTCTGGTACGGGGGATTGAACTCGGGTCCTTGCGCTTGCAGGACAGGTGGCACCACTGAGCTAAATCCCCGGCCCTATAGCCCCGTTCTTGTTCAGTGAATTCAAGATCTTCTGTTGTATCTCTGAAAACTGAGTTTTCTAAGTTTTCTCCTGCTCCATACATTGTGTTTTTTTCTATTTTCTTACTTTGATCTGTGTGTGTGTGTTTGATCTCTCAGTTATTAATGATCTTCGCTTAAGAGGCTGATGCCCAGCTTGGCAAGTGCAGCCCAGGTCGAGGGTGAGACTGAGGGTCACCTGCTCCTTGTAAAATCTTCCGCCGAGTCTAACTTCCTTGGAGCCCCACACTCCTGAAAGAACAGGAAGCCTAATTTCCTGAGCCTTTCTGGGTTGTGGAGGAGGAGTTGTCTTGGTTTTTATCAATTTCCTCACCCTCTAGTAGGAGGCCACTCTGTCACATGGGCTAAATCGGTTGACATGACCATTTCCTTTTCATAGTCAACAAAACATGTTGTGGAAGCTGAGTGTGGTGGCACACACCTGTAACCCCAGTACTCGGGAGGCTGAAGCAGGAAGATCACTGTGCGTTCCAGGCCAGCCTGGGCTACATAGTGAGTTCAAAGCCAGGCTGAACTACATAGTGAAATCCTGACCCAAAACAAAAGCAAAAACAAAAGCAAACAAACACAATCAAAAGAAGAAGATAAGGGGCTGGGGACGTACCTCAGTTCTCCATGGGTTCAATACCTGGAACTGAAAACAAAACAAAAGAAACAAACAAACAAAACCCCAGAAGTTTGGACAGTCTTGAAGCACAGTACAGGGGGATCAGACTCAGGGAAGTGAGTAACGTGAAAACATCTCGAAATGCCAGCTTAGCGGTCTGCATCACATTTGCTTGTAAGGCTTCGCCCCTTCGCTCCCTAACAGGTCGAGAAATAGAAGACAAATGTAAGCGAGACAGCTGTCTGCCATCTCGGTGACTCTCATCAGAGGGGGCTTCTCTCCGCCGCCGCCGCCGCCCGGACCCTTCTGCAAAGCCCGAAGCTGGAGAGCCGGCCAGGGAGCCAGGGTGAGGGGCCGGGGCGGCCGAGCGCGGTGGGCTGGGCCTGGGAGCTGGCGGGGGGAGGGGGCGGGGGGCACCGCTGCGCCAGCTCTGCGCCTCCCCCTGCACCCGACCGAAGTGCACAGAGCCAGGAGGCACGCAGCTGGCCTTTGGCCGGCCTTCGGCGTTCGGGCGGGGCGGGGCGTCCGGAGAAGGCGGAGCCGTACGCACGCGCACTTCGGCCGGTGTAGCGCTGCCCTTCGGAGCTCCTGCTGCTCCCGCCCTTCCCGCCGGAAACCTCAGCGCGGCCGGGAACGAGGTGCTTACCTGATGACACTCCGGACCAGTGGCTCACGCCCGTAATCCCAACACGCCGGGAAGCTGAGCCGGAGGATCGCAAATTGGAACCCAGCGTGGACGATTTAGCGAGACCCTGTCAGGACATTTTATTTATTTATTTTATTTTATTTATTTTGGTACTGGGGATCGCACTTGTCAGGACATTTTTATTTTTTTTTAAGATTGAATTAGACATTCATTAGGGAGATTAAAAGTTTTACAAGAACAAATGTCAGCTAAGGTGTGCACCAGTTAGAACTGTCTGTGATTGTCAAGACATTTTAAAAGAAGGTGCAAAGGGCTGAGGATGTATCTAAGTGAAAAGCCCTGGAATCCCCAGTACGGGGCGGGGGGTAGCAGTAATCTCGGGTATCGTCTGCACACCTGGAACCACACCTCCCTGCCACTGGAAGAGGTTTACAGTGTTTGGTTCTTTTATTTTTCTTTCTTATTAGTATATTTTCGTGATAACCGCATCCCCATCCTTCTGTTTTTTTAAAGGAGGAAGTACAGTGTATGTCTAATATAACTTTTGTTTCCAATGAAAACAGTCGGAGCGCAGCTCCGTGTAATACTGAGAAACTGGGAGCTACCAAAATGACCAGCGGTGGGCGACCGATTGTAAATCATCGTGATGCTGTAAGTGAACTGTAAAGCGCACCTGAAAGTCATCGTGCAGGACACTTGAGAGCAACAGAAAATGTACACTATGAATTGAGTGGGGCAGGGGAGCACTTTACAAAACAGTTTCTGATTTTCAAAAAACGCTAAATTGGGCCGGGGATTTAGCTCAGTGGTTCCGTCGCCTGCCTTACAAGCTCAAGGACCCGAGTTCGATCCCTGGTACAAAAAAAAACAACAACTCTAAGTAGACGTAAACTGGACCGATGGAGAGTAGGAACGGTCAGCTCTAGGTGGCTGTGCACCCATGTATCTTTTTTTCTTTTTGTAGTGGAGATTGAACTTAGGGGCTTCACACTGAGCTACATCCCCATCTTTTTTTTATTTTTTGTTTTGAGACTAAATCCTAAATTGAGCAGCCTGGGCTCGAACTTTCGGTCCTCCAGCCTCAGCCTCCTGGAGCGCTGGGGTGACAGGCGTGCGCCACCGTGCCCGCCTGGGCTCGCCTGCTTCTGCCCGTCCTGTCGTGTCCGGTACGGGGGGGGCGGTCCCGAGCGTCTCCTCGCGGCGCCCCTGGCAGCGGGCCGTTTCCAAAGGGCCCGGGAGTGGGTCACAGACCGCGAGGCCGGTGGAATGGCCTCCGACTTAGCGCACTGATCAGGCCTGAAACGGCTCAGAGGGCCGCCCCTCGGTCACTGGGGCCACGGTGACCTCTTGCTTCCCTTCCGGGGACTTGACTGCAGACAGCTGTGCCCCGGCCTGGGTGCGGAGGCCAAGCGATCCCACTCAGACCAGCAGAGCAGATGAGGTGACCGGGGTGGCCGAGGGCCCCGGGCACGCAGCCGAGAGGGGGCGTCCTGGCCTCTGCAGCCCACCGCGGGGCGTCTGCTCTCCGTCCCGGAGCTGAGATCTCTCCAGAGCCCGCGTACAGGCTCCCCCGAGACTGGCCCCCGGCTCTGTGGGGCTCCATCTCGGCTGCCGACCTTGGGGGGCTCCGGCGACAGAAGAAAGAGGCCTTTCGTGAGTTTTCCGAGTCATTCCCTTTGGCTTTGCGCCCACAGGGAAGGGGAGCAAAGTTAACCGAAATGCACCGACCTTGCCCATTTTGTTTATAGACGCCCGGGCGATAATAAAATCCATCCTAGGGGCAGAGGATTTAGCTCAGTGGTCCCACCGCCTGCCTCTCAAGCGCAAGGTACCGATTTCGATCCCCGGTACCAAAAAATATAAATTAAATAAAATAAAATCCACCCCAATTTGCTACAGAGGGAAATTGAGACCCCCTGGCGTGACAGGCCAGCCTTGGGCGGCAGGAGAGCTTCCTGGCCCAGAGAATCGCAGTTTCTACCTGCCTTTAGGTATACATAGGCTCACTACAGATAACATCCCAGCTGAACAGGGGTAACGAAATAAAAGAAAAAAAGGAAAGAAGGGAGAAAAGGGGGGAGGGGGAGAGAATAGGTACACACCTACTATATGGAAAGTTTGGATGGATTCTTTCTAAAATTTTTTTGAGATAGGGTCTTGCTGTGTTGATCAGTAGATCAGGCTGGTCTTGGACTCACTACAGCCCAGCCTGGCATTGAACTCTGGTGATCCTCCTGCCTCAGCCTAAATTGTGGGAGTTCACCATGACCCCTGGATGGATTCTTTCTGTTTTGTTTTGTTTTTTTGATACTGGGGATCAAACTCAGGACCTTATGTTTGCAAGACAGGTACGGTACCACTGAGCTAAATCCCTGCCCCTGGATTCTTTTTGATTTAGCATTATATTCTGATATTTTTTTTCCCAAAGCCATGCAACTTATTAAAAGTGTAGAAGTCAGATATGGTGACACAGATCTGTAATCACAGCACTCTAGAGGCTGAGGCAGAAGGACTGCTGCTTGCCTGGACTACATAGTGAGTTCAAGACCAGCCTTGAACTACATATAGAGAGGCTGTCTCAAAAAAAATTAAAATAACTAAATACTAGCTTGGGGCCAGGTATTTAACTCAGTGGTTCTGCCACTTGGTGCAAGGACCCAGGTTTGATTCCTGGTACCAAAAAAAAACAAAAACAAAAACAAAAAACCCTAGCCAGTGCAGGGTTGTACCCCTCTGGCCCCAGCTACTTAAGAGCCTGAGGCAGGAGGATCACTTCAGCCCAGGAATTCCAAGTCTGCCTGGGTAAGTGTCTCAAAAAAAAAAAAAAAAAACCCACACTGTTTCTGACCTTACTTTGTCTTTATCATAGCTGAATCAGATAAGTACTTCTGTTTTCTTGATTTTACAGATAAGAGAATTGATGCCTGTAGAAGATAAAAGTCACAGCTGACTTTTTTTTTTTTGGTATGGGGAGTTGAACTCTGGACCTTGCGCTTGGGAGGCCAGTGCCAGAACCACTGAGCTAAATCCCCAGTCCCTC